ATGCTTCTTTCACTTCATGGTGGCGGTCAAAGCATACCTTCCACCAGCGCACGCTTCAATTTTTGTGCAAGCTCCAGGCCCATGCTGACTCAAACTCTGCTCATCCCGTGTTACACATTCGACTGAGCCAAACCCACTGGACTCGACGGACACCAAAACCACATGTCCAGCGGCCCTGCTCGGCCCTGCTCATGGCCGGAGGGCCTTGTGCACATGATGGCCCGCACTGGGTTTCAGTTGTTTCACTGCATGACACCACCCTGTTCGGTTTCAGGAGAATCGTCATGTGAGTCGTTCCCCCGCCCTCTACTTCCATGTCGACCAGTGGAGTGAGTCGGAGCCCTTTTGATTCAGCAAAAGCACCCGCCTTGGAAGGCATCAGAGACTAAGTGGCCCCAACCACGCTGGTCACACCTCTGAGGCGCGAGAGAGAGAGAGAGAGAGAACTCGAGAGTGGCAGCTACGGCGACCACCCACGAACAGGGACGAGATGAGGCGACTCGTCCTTGAATACCTCCGTGCACTTCGATTGGCATGCTCTCATGATCAGCTGAAAAACTCCACTTGGAGTATTCACCCCCCCAAGTAAAGTCTGGCCTTGACCGAGATGCTGAGCGGTTTCCGGTTTCCAAACCGCTCGGCTAGCAGTTCAGACCTCCGATTTGAACTCAGGAGCTTGGATCTTCTAAGGTTTTGTTTTGTTGGATCTTCTGCGGTATTGCTTCCACTCAAGGGAGGTGTTCCAAAACCCCTGCAACACCCCAAACCCCTTCACAGCCGAAACCCAGGTGACCGGAGCCCAAGGCACTCCAGCGAGGAGTTGTTGAACCTCGGGCTTCGTCTTGGACGGCGGAAAGCATGGAGATGGTCAGTTCGCCCACCCGGTTGCAGGAACTCTTAGTGACATTGAGGCAGCACCAGTACAGCAGCACCATTGCAGGGATTGCGGTCTGTCTAGACACTTGTCTATCACCAAAACGGGCTGCGTGGACCCAAGAGAAAGGACTTGACTAGCGTGCCCATGTCAAGTCAGGGCCAAACCAAAACAAGAAACAAACAACAACCAGGAGTCACAAGACGGGGAAGTTTAGTCCCTAAGATTCCCATCCAGTGAGTGGAGTGGAGTGGATCATGGGCACCCCTACCTATGCTCCAAGTTTGGCACTCCTTCATTTGTGACTCCTGGAGAAAAAATGTTCTGAAGCCAAGTGGGAGTTGACAATCCCACGATCTTGCCAGCACCGAGGCAACGCTCGAAGCCCTCAGTATCGATCTGTCCATAATCCGCCTTCCGGCCCATGGCGAGTTCAGAGGCGAGACGGACGTGTCAGGTGTAAGAAGAAGGCTTGGAGTTTGAAGAAGCCTGGCGAGTTCATGTGTGTGTTACAGTTGGGAGCCGTTTGATCAGGTTTTTGATGGTTGGGGTTTGGGGGTACGCTTTATCACTGCAGATCTTGCGCGTACATTTGTCGGTTTCACTCGGGTTTGTGTTTCCATCGAATCTTGGACGAAGATGGAGCTGTCCATCCCTCTTTCCTCCAAGCCAACCATGCGGGTATTTGGCTACAATATTATCATGTAGCCATTCCATTGCATGTCTGTTGCAGTATTCTTGAACACTGAAAGGAGCTGCTGCATGCTGCACGTCAAGGTCGGTCTATCCCATGGTAACTGATAACAGCAATTTAGTGCTGCTTAATGTCATTCGATATTGTTTGCCGTGGATACTATCCCAACCACTAAACATGCAAGGATACAAGTTGTCTTCCAATACAAGGGGGGCATGTTCCGCTTCCATCTTCGTCTTGAATAGTGTGACATGTTCTCCAGCGCCACTTGCACCATGTGCAATTGCCTGCAAGGGATCAACCTCAAGACTGCAACTCCTGAATTCCCTTCCGCCACCGGGCCTGTTCCAGGGTTTTTGCCCCAAAGGGAGTCAGGCTGTGCCCATCTTAGCAAACATGGAAGCTGCCAGAAGGATTGTTGAAGACATCTTGGTGTTCAACATCGCCCTTGCCGTCCAAAGACTGGAACGCACCGCACCCTTTTCCTCCAAAGGCCCACATTCATGTCTAACGCACCGCGCCGCGCTTTCATTCAAAAACAACTGGCAAACAAATCTACAGTTTGGGGTGCGTCTTTCGAGGCCTCCCCAGCTCTGTTTGGATCTGACTTCGGGGTCGCGTGGTGGACGTAAAATCAAACACCGGGAGGCCAACTGGATTAAACCTAGTCACCCCAAGGTATCCAGGTATGTGGAATACTTTAACCTTGGAACTTGACTTTGAGCCAACCCACATGTTCCCTGAAAGGTGGGAACATAGTGAACTTGTTCTTCTTCATTTCTGATGACGCTCAGAACATCGTCAACTTTGACCATGCGGATCTCAAGAAGTTCCTCCAAACAATGTCTGAACGTACTGAAGCTTACTGAAGCTTTATGAAGTTCTCGCACCCCAATAAGAAAAACATGCGGGATCTCTATATCAGCATCAAGTTTTTGCACCCAAAACTGGAGACGGAACCTGAATTGACCTTGTGGGTCGCTCCTAGAACCCCAAATTCCACCCTGAGATACAGCCCAAATGTCCACTTGATAAGACACAGGCTGCTCTTGGATTTGGGCATTGGGGGGTCGGACACCTCGTGAGAAACACCCACACCTCTCGGCACACGACCCGCCGCTTCCATCTCACTCTGCGGCTTCCATCTCACTCTGAAGCTTCCAACCTCCGCGCCGCTGCCGCAAGAGCATCTTGCCCTTGCTGGCTTCAGGGATCCTCGTGGCTCGAAAAGCATTCTGATCATTCTGCAGTGTTTTTTCAAAGACCCACGTGACCCAGCCACAGTCGCCTTGTGTGTTTTTAGTTGTGCGTCTAGGAATCTAGAGATCCTACTCATCGGAATGTCGTTGGCTGTTGAAGAAGCCGGACAGTGTCAACCACTTGCTCCTTCCTGGAGTGTTTCTAGACCCGAATTAAGTGAATCCTGAGCCTAGACACATTGAATTGCTTGATAGGCACCTTAGCTAACCACACTGCTGCCTCTTCTCCTTGGCGTTCCCTTAATAGCGTCGTTTGGGGCGACGACTCGGGCCATGCGCATGGCCAAGCGGCTCGCGCACGGGGTCGCCATTGTCAAACTGCGAGTAAACGATGCCGTTGGAGTAGTGGTGGTAGTTGATGGTCTTCGCACGTGCCCACCACTCCTGGCGCTTCGACAATCATGCATAAAGCAAATCCGGATTGTTTTGAGACTTCACATCGGGAATCTCGATGTGTCGATGTCCTGTCCGCGGGGACGTGTGCAATCCGTTCAGAACACTTCCGTCACGTTGACCTTTACTAGCTTCTTCAAAGTGACCTTTTGGATCCTTTTTGGGAATCCTGAAATGGCGTTTTGCAGGCCTAAGTGGCCTCAAAACAGGGGATCAAGTTCGGTCACTTTGAAGAACCAGGTGCTTTAATATGTCATATTCCTGGAACACCTGAATGACCTCCCTTTTGGACCACCAACTACCCAAAATATAGTCTTTTCTCTGGTCTTTTCCTATCAAAACAGAGGTCAAGTGGGTTCCATATAACTTATAACTATACATATTACTAGCAACCCTAGAGTGCCACCCCCGTTTTGCATCGTTTTGTCGGGTTTTGTATAGCGGCTCTACCCCACTATTTCGAAGAGACGCGAGAGAGCCGGCTCAGTCCCCCAGAGCCCGGGGCTCCTCGGAGGCCACTCCTGGAATCAGCTCCCAGCGGTACATCACGGGAATCACCTCGGCACCGCTTCTGAAGGCCCGTCGGCGAGGCGCTCGAGCGGAGCTAAGGCCGCGAGCCGCGAGAACGGTGTGGGTTTTTTCAGGGGATGGTAGTAGAAACATCTATGAAGACTAAAAGCAGGTTTGTAGGGGATCTCCCAACTGATCTCCCATTTTCACGCCCAGTGGATGGTCATTGTTGAGGTTGGCCTTTCGAAAGTAATCATCTTTGACCGACTGCTAGTGAGCTGCTAGTGGTGGAGCTGAAGGGCCGCTGGTGACTCGCTCTCATCACTGGTGACTCGCTGCCCGCTACAGGATGCTACCGGAAGCTACAGGGGGCCATGCTTCAAGCTTGGTGCTGGCCAAACATGGTGTCTATGTTGGCAGTTTGACAATTCAGTCCATGAAAGGGTAATCCTGGTTGCACTGCCTGCGGAAAAAGAAACATGGTCTCTTGGATCAAACCCTTCTTCAAGAAAAGGGTACCGTACGCCCTCCTAGGCTTCTGGTAACGTTCTAAACCCAAGCCTTCAAAAAGAGTGGTAGCGTTGAATCGTTTTGATGTTTCATCTAATTCTCCACATCGGAAATCAAACCCACCCACCCTCTTCGCCTCCATCTCCTCTTCGTCCTTTTCCCATCCCTCCCGTGGTGAACGACGTCTTCGTGTCACGAAAGCCCACGCCTTGTAGGCCACCCAAAGGCCGGCGAGGCCACCCACCACTGGTGCGACCTTGTCCATGGCGATGGTGGAAGCTCGACGGCGAAGGGGCGCTGTGGTTGGGCGCGCGGACGCTGCTTGGGCCGGTGCCAGCGGCCAATGGCAGGTGATGGCAGCAGAATCACAGCGGCCAATGCGACACATCATGTGGTTCAGAAAGGAGTTGTGGCAAATCTATCAGAGGGACTCCCAGGGAGAAACAATTAATGTTCTTTCAGGTGTGGGGGATGGACTTGGGTGTGTCCTGACGCAGGGTACCATGCAGGGCCGAGCAGAACTCTGCTAGGGGCTCTGAAGAATACCTGCGCTATACAAAACAAACAACTTGAAACACACTGACTCCCTCAGTTTCCCTGGTTCCCCCTCTTCCACCTCTTCGATTAGGAACTAATCATAACCTATCCTCCCCCCCAAAAAGGTGTTCAATGGCTACAACCGGTTATCAACTGAGAGGAAGCGATCGATCCACAAATGGCGCCATCCCCACGGGGAGCTCGACTTCGCGGACCGAGCGACTGGGGCGGGATCCGGTGACCTGTGAGTGGCTGGCCACCAAAGGCCAAGGTGGCGCCAGGGATGCTCAAGCAGCGCTCCATGTGATCCAAGATCTTCTCCTCATCTCATGAATGCTGCGCTCGGATTCTCGGGCTGTACAGCTCGGAGGCTTTTAGGGCAAAATGGATGGATGATAGATCTACCTCCCTGCTCGGAATCCTCCAAAAAAGAGGGATCATGTGAACAGCGGCTCATTGTGCAAGGGTTTTGCCCCTCACATCTCCGGACCTCTCACAAACACATCACATGTCATATGATATACACAACTACCTGGACCCTCCTGTCGGGGTGTCCTGGCTGGACTACCCCACATTACCGCACTAGGCTTCCAGACAGGGCACCCCTTGGAGGGTCCAGCAGTTTGAGATGTGAGAGGCTTCATAATAAGCCTTCTCGGACGGTCAGTTCAGCACACACAAAATACAACCCAAACAATCCGGACCCTTAAACATCCTTAAACGCACACACATGCGAATATGACGAGACAGGGCTCTAAACATCTCTAAACCTGTTCGAAAGGAAACAGGCCCTTGCTATGGAGGCTTCGACTCCTTCTGCCGTGTCCAGCGGATTCTGAGGGGCTCAATTCGGTGAATCCCAGCACCCGCCCGGTTGGCGCCCGTCCGTGGGCCACGTGAGCACCGGGCAGTTGGTCAAATTCTCCAGGCTTCGCTGCCCCGCCAGCTTGGCCAAACGCCCGACGATGTCCACCTGCCGCTCGACGGTTCAACCAGAAAATGCGTCTGAGCATGGGCGGTCTGCCATTGTGGAAACGCCCTGTGATTGATGGTCGGCCGAAAAAGGGTCCGAGCCTTCATTTCCTGACAGGTCTTTGGTGAGAGAAGTGTGCCAGGTTTGAGCTTGAACTGAAAGGGTTAAGCAATACCGACCATCCAACAAATGATAAAAGGACATATAGAATTATAATAGAATTTAATAGAAGGAAATAGAAGGTGAACAGGTGAACCATGGTGAACACCTCCTCTTGGGTCTAAATTCTCTTCCAAGATGAGGGCGGCCATCCATGGCTCCGTCTCTTCCAGGTTCTGGTCGTGCGGAACCCGCGGGATCCGCGCCTCTGCCGACGTCCAGTTCCTCAGTCGTTCTCCCGGTGGGGCAGCAGTGGCGACGCTTGAAAGATCTACTACTAACAAGAAGCTAGCTATAGTAGCAAAGGGCATCGCTACTAGTTACAAGGGCATTACGACTATAGTAGCATTCTTGCCACTAGGAACAAGACGACGTCAACGTAACTGAAGGAACACCAGGAGAAACCGAACCGTTGGAGATCCGGTCGGACTGGACTCTAGGTCTCTAGGTGACTCCAGTGGTGGATTCCGGTCCTACAGGATACTCCAGGAATGACAAGGGCCATTGGGAGGTATCCAATCACGACGTACCCTCCTACAGTGCTAGCATATGTGAGCAAAGGCTAGCTAGCGGCTAGCATCTACGCGGCCGCACGGCATATGAAATTTTGGCTATGGCGACCCAGCTATGGCGAACCTCGAAGAAGCAAGCCGTTTGGATCTCCAATCTTGACCAAGCCTCTCGTGCATGAAAAGCATGGACTGTGCGCTGCACTTCTGACCGGCAAAGCCGTAAGCATCATGGTCTGCCTGCCATGCGACAAAGTCCACGTCCATCACATCCTTGGGCGATCTGGGTGTGGAACACCGGGGGGGTGAAAACATGTGAAAAACACCACTCCCAAGCCATACCCAGTGCATCCCAGGAAGACCACTATATAAGGAACCAGGGATTCGTTTGGTCTATGGTTTTAGTCTTTATAGTGGTAACTGGATGCCCTGGGATAGTGAATCGGGCTAGACTCATTTCATTAAAAATATTGGAGGTTTAAGGGCAAGGAGTTTGAGCAAGTGGGTTAGCTGATAAGCAGGCTGGTTTCGTTCCTAGGCCAATCACCTGAAGTGCACCATCTGGAATAAGATGGAGGCAGGCGTGCAACTAAACATCTGACGTGGGAGCAACAATAACAAGTCTAATTTCTCACAAAGCCTGAATGAAAACAGAACCTTCTCCAGCAAAAAGGTGCTTCTATTTTGGTGTCGTAGCAAACGCTACAAACATGTGTAGAGGGATGGAGGGCTTAAGTGTCAATTGTTTATTGCCTCAAAGAAAGGAATTGCATACAATCCGTTTAGACATGTTTGGACGGCTGGTGTGAGACAAAGACTGTTTACATTTTTTTCCACAGCACCTCCAATCAATCTCATACCCAGTGAATAGCTGCCGCGGTGAGTAGACCAAAAGACTCTGGGGGTGATGTCCACCGCTTCTGCTGAAATAGGGTGATGCCACCAATTAACTGGTTGGTGATTTAGTGATGGAATAAAGTATCCACACGCGCGCACACACACACACACTCTAACTAATCACATATGAGGGCTCCAATAACGAATCGCCAACTAGCTCATTCCCCAATGGACCGTAACTATTTAGAACCATCGCCAGTATACCTGCAATTGGCAGGCCCCACCACGGTATGGAAGATCCTTCATCGGGGAGTGTCAAGAACTTCCCCAGCAAACACCTCTTGTTGTGTGAACTCTTCTTTACCTTGGGACTGCCCAGTTCTAATTATATAATTCCATTTAGTTTAAGCATCTCATATAAGCTTTGTATAACTTTATCTTTCTACTAGACTCTTAGACCCACAAAGGATTTGACAAAGGATAAGGATCTATTTCCAGGGTCGCAGCCCGCTTCACCGGGGCACCGGCCCTAGGATCTTCCAATCAAAGCCGGCATCCTCCAGCTTCACCTGCGAGGTCTTGGTACCCCTCGGTGCTGATGTGAAGGACTGACTAATTAGTAGCTTCTTGCTACTAGTAAGGCCAGGAGCTACTAAGTAGTAGCGATGCCCTTGTTACTAGATCCGAAGCATCGCGCCTTGCCCTTGAGCTCCACCGCCAACTTGTCGGCGACCCGCTGCGAGCCGGTGAAGAGCGTCATCTTGGCATCGCCCCCTGCACCGGAAAAAAGAAAAAAAACGAGGCGCCGGGCGGATAGGCCCGAAGCCGATCCCAAGCCGAAGCAGCAGAACACCCGTTTTAGCTTCTTCAAAGGTGACCTTTTGGGACTCTTGAAGTCACCTTGTGCAGGCCTAAGCGACCTCAAAGGGAATCCAAAGGCCACTTTGAAGAACCATTCTGGGGAAATCATGAGTGAAATGCATTGGAGACAGTGCTCACTGTGGTTGGTGTCCACGCGAAACGCAGAAGCTTTCTTCTGAGTGGCTGAGCAAGACCTCGTTGAAAACAGGGCCATCGCAGTAGATGTAGTCGACCTTAGCTTCGGCCGACTGCAGGAGACTCGGAGAGGGATGAAGCCCTGGTTTTGGGCTGTGTTATGCCCATGTGACATAGATGATGATCAAAGCCTAGGAGACTGCGCAATCAGCATTCCCACCTGCACAGGGAGAGCAGGGCCCAGGTTAAGTTGCAGCTGACCAAAAACAACCCACCCACTGGGACCAAATTGAGCCCAAAGCTGCCAAATCATTGAACCAAAAACGTGGAACAAGCAACTGTAGAAGTACAGTATGTATCAGTAACCCACGGTGACAACAATGGACAAATGGACAAAGCAAAAAGCTGTTCGGAGCACCGAGTTGGCCCAGCAGCATCAGCCTTTGGTAAGCCACAGGCATGCAGCATGCGCAGGAACTGCTCCATCACAATGGCAACTTTCCAATCGACCTTCCTCGGCTGCCGATGGAGCTGCCCGGGCCACTGATATGACAAAATGTTGCAACCCTACGCCAATGAAAATGATCTACGCGCCAAAAAGGAGTGCGAGGAATGTAGTGTTATCCTTGGCTCATGACCTGAATCACGTCGGGAAGCAAACCTCGTGGGACCTCCAGCGTCTCCACACCACACCCAAAATGGACAGTGAAAGCCGCTCAGTGACACCAAGAAATGAAGAAAGCCGTCTAGCTGCGCGTCTGACATAGGAAATCCCTCTAGCATGGCTCCTTAGTTCCCTCTTGGAGCTATGGGTGATTCTTCACCAAAATCATCCATTCCGGCGAGCCAGTGTAAAATCATCCATTCCGGCGAGCCAGGGTAACACACTCACAAAGCGATGTTGCAAGGGCAAGTAGGAGCCCTGACATGCTGGTGATAGGAAGGAACCCTGACATGACGGCCCCGCACTGCACAACCTCTGATGCTCCTTGCTCAACACTGCTGCAAATTTTGAATTCTGTTGATCCTTCAAAAGCAGAAGTGAACACCACAGCAACTCTGCAAAGGTGCACCTAGAAGATCAACGTTTGCTCTGGCCGTCTCAAGACTACTGGTCATTTGATGTCATTGGTTGGCTCCTAAAGGACTCGGAAAACCAAACTATACCTACTGCGATGCGATTCTCTCAGACCCGAAGTCGTCCTGGATTGGTCCCAAATTTATTCAGCCGTTCAGATAGGGCCTTTTGTTATGGCATTCATTTGGCCATATAGCTGGCTGGAAGCAATCAATCGGTATCGTTTGGACTCCACCCGAGCATTTCGGTAGATGATGCACATAAATATACTCTATATGTATATTATAGAATAAACAGGTATGTACTATATTGTACTACTACATTGTGCTATACTGTTGTATTAATTCTTTGGAGGTACCCAGAAGTACTTGCGGCCCAGTCGCGTCGTGCATTGGTTGCCCATGAAGACCTCAGGGAAAACGCTTTGAAATCCAAGGGAGACACGCCAGGTATCCAAAAACAGCCGCGACACCCTGAACCACACGAGTCGGCAGAATTCACGACACGGGAGCCAATCTAATTCAGTCGAGTCGAGAGTCCAGGGCCAGGGTTGGGTTCCGAACCCAGTTGGGCTCGAAGTATCTTGCAAGGATCAAGCCCACAACCAACCACGTACTTGGAGCTCTTGGAACAAGCACTACCAGTTTGCAGAGACACGTCTCCAAGAATCCACGGGCGCCGTGATATGACTGATGATGACTGATGTCATGTTCATCTTTGGGGTGCGCGGACGTGCACAAATGAACCGAGAAGGGGAAGGAGGCCTTTACCTTGAACCCAGGAGGTGGTGGGCGTCTTTCTTCTCGAGATTGTTCACTGGCCGGTAACAGGTCCATCGACCCGTCAGAGAAGACGATGCGACCGAAGACCGAGGTCGTGCCCCCTGCCTGAAACCGCGTTCGAAGAACGAGGGGCTGCTGAGAGGGTCTGCAAGCTGCAAATCTCCAAGGGGAAGTTAAAAGGAGTGATGACCTCAAAGTCTTCCCCTGGAAGTCCATCATGACTCATTTTGGCTCCTTACAATCCCATACTACCTCTCGCGCCAGAATGCCGCAGTGAAATGCGTCTGGCTTATGCATGACACGCAGGTCAATGACATAACTAAGAATGTACAAAGAAAGAGGTCCACGGAGACCGTCAAAAATAAAAGTGGTGGACAAATGACTGCGAAAGTGAGGTAACATGAGTAATTATAAACGGAAGTTCTGGGTAGGTAGACGCGGGGCGATGGGTGGCGACGTATGAGCGTTCTCTTTGTTCCATTGTGTTACCATTCTGTGGAAAGCACATGGTGAGGTTGTTCTCCATTGGTTTTCGCTTGTTCCTTCTTCTGGGCCGGGGGGCAACAACCGTTTAACAACAAACCCTAACCTATAACCCCTAACCTAAACCCTAACCTGACCTACCGTTTTAGAACAAACCCTAACCGCCCTAACCCGCTAATGAAAAGAGGAAAACGGGCTTCAAACAGGGTCCCCGTTGGGAGTGGTCCCCACCGGCGTATCTCCCGTGGGTAGAGCAACGACCAGGCCTCGTTAGGTCTGTTAGGTCTAAGGCAGGTGCTCCAACCCCACCAGTGGAATGAACACGTCCCTCTAACAACCCTAGCTCCCGGGCTCCATGTTAGAGGTATCTGTCGATCGCCTCCTTCCCTACCTCACTCAGAGCTAACGTTCTACATCGCAGAGCCACCTTCCGACATCGGACTGGACCACATGGCTTGGTGGTTGGACCACATGTGAGTCAAACTTCTGTTGGCCGCATGTAGCAAACCTCACAAAGTCACAAACCTCTACCCGAGCTGACTCCTGGAGCCGTTGTCCTGGAGACGGCTCGGTGGAGCAAATTATTCCACCGGTTCTTGCTAGTGGGGCATCTTCCATGACCTATCTGTTGGGATACTATACATGTACGCAATAATGTATAAACATGATTGTATGCAATACGTATACATATACATCATATACACATGCAAACACACGGTATGGATTATATAAATACAATAATGTAGACTCTTGATTAATAAACCCCTCCATTGGAAGTCCTCTTCATATGGGGGGTTTATTGATCTAATCTACATTATTGTAAGTGTTGAAGAAAAGCTCTACCTGGCTAAACCTTTTCCCTTGTGAATCTGAACAGTTGCCACTCCGAAACCGTTCGCGCCCAGCCACGCTGACGCCACCAAACCTGGGCTCTGGAGAAGGTGTTGACGTTAGCAGAAATCTTGCCCAGCTTGGTTTCCAAGTCATGGAGTAATGACATGGTGAAACCATGGGATGAAGAAGAAAAGCTACCAGGACCCTCCTGTTGGGGTGTCCTGGCTGGGACTACCCCACACTACCGGCCGTTCGGCTTCCAAACAGGGCACCCCGACAGGAGGGTCCTGGTAGCGGATTCTGTTTTTGGATTCACGTTCGACCTACTCCAGGATAGTTGTAAACAGGTGTGTATTCAACTAGGGGGAGGGGTCCCCAAGCCACAGGTGTTAGATTCTGTTTCCCTGTGTCACTTGGGGAGTCTCCAACTGACCAATGCCATTCATGTGCAAGATTTTGCGGCCATTTTTGTGGAGTGATGAAAAAGAGATCGCTCGGTGGAACCACCGTAACCACCTCCAAAGTAGGGGCCCCTTAAGATATCTGACAGTTCTATACCCAAGCACTCCATGTATGCCATATATGCCTACATTGACCCCCAAACCCACCCCAACTGATCGGCAGTCCTATGGCAGTCCCATGGGTCGTGCCTGGGATATGGTCCCCTCTGGTCCCCCCAAACGGTCCGACACCACACGTCGAGCTGCGGCATGCGGTAGCCCACGGTGCTTTGGCCCGGATGGTCGCCAGGCAAACCCTGCGACTCGGCCAGCATTCCTCGGTGACCAGTGCGGCGCGAGGAACGTTTCGGACGAGGAGGGCGGAACGAAGCGACCCGAAAGGGCGAACGTCTACGTGGTTGTGGCAGGTTGACACCTTTTCTTCTAGCAATTATTTTAGTGTTGAAGGATGTTGAAGGAACTGCCCAACAGCACTGGGTTTGGAGGAAACCTGGAGATCTACAGTGATTTAGAGCTTCTTCCTTCAACTGCGGGGCTTTCCTTTTACTTCATCCCCAAAAGGCTCATTGGACCCTCATAGCCAGGGTTTTGACCCTCACAGCCAGGGTTTTGGACCTCAAACAAGTAGCAGTTTGAGGGTCCATGAGCCTCTGGGTCTTCCTCATCCAACGCTCCCCTGGACGCACAAACGTTCGTCGTGGGGCGCACGCTGTTCCCACTGTAGTCCTGAAGCCAAGTCCGGACAGCCTGGCGTTCGGTGTAAATCCCACTGCTCGACTGCTGATAAGCTTTTCAGCATGTTCCATGGCACTAGTCTTTTCAACACCCAAACAGTGTTTGGAAGATCCTCCCAGCGGAAAACTGCCTGATCCTGACTCCCGACTATCCAAAAGGTCCTGGCTCGCCTCCCCTGCGCAAGCAAACTCTTGAGGAAAACAAGAAAATGCCCTGCAAATGCCGCGAACTTGCACAGCCACACTCAGATATGCATGCTGCGCAAAACCGGTGCGCCTTGATTTCCCCGCCAGCTTGTGCATAGCTCTTGGGAGCCACGCGTTGGATCAGGCGACAAAAGTAGTCCGAGACCTAGAGTGACCCAACGAAAATCCGCCCAAATACTACTCCATGGGATTGGAATCAAACAATATATCATTTCTTCGATATCATTATATATATATATATGGGTAGCCGGCCACTTTGAGGCCATCCAACCCTCCCAGTTCCTAAACATATAACATCAACATAGTAACATAACCAACCATCCATGTATGGAACAGTTAGCTACATTAGCGGGTCATACATGGGACATCATGGGAAGAACATGTAAGTACTATACTATACTATATATAACTATTGCATACATGGATGGCGTGATATATATATATATATGGATATATCACTAAACATGTCTCACATGTCTTTGGAAGTCTGCCCCATCAAAACATATCCAAGAACTGTTTCCAAGTAGCCTCTGGCTTGAACATCTCTCGAGCCGCGGCCCCGCAAACCTCTCCAAGCATCACATACCTGCAGGCTGGATGAAAGGATGAATTTGGCCGCGACATGCATGACATGGTTTAACAGCTTGATAGTTTTGATGTGATCTTGCCGCACGCTCAGAAAACCCCAGCCTAGAGAGCAGTGCCCTCTTCTAAGGTCCCTGTGAGACAATTGTGGGACAACTCATGGGAAACCACAGAAGGAGACACAAGGTAAACATGTTGGGAAGATTTGGGAAGTATCCTTGACAGAGTTTGCTGTCGGAATGTTTTTTGTTTGCAGCATGTCCCTGTCGGAGACGGTGGGGCATTGCCCTGGCTGCAGTAGCCTCGAATTGGAGGTTTGATACAGCTTCAGTTTCATTGAAAAGAACCTCCAGGCAGGGTGGATTTGACCAACGATGGCAAGAAACGTCTCCCATTCACAAACACTTGGAATGATCATGGCCCCTTCCGGGAAAAAACATGTTTCCTGTGTTGCGGTTGAGGAATGTGCAGTACTTGGAACTCAAAAATATACACTGCCCTAGTGCTATTGGAACAACATCTTCAAGAAGCGGACATGCTCCTAGCTTTTGTTTAGCCACCGACGCAAAAGGTCTGGAAAACATTGAAAACTCCCAGTCCCGGCCGCACGAGCCGCCGGCCCGCCCCACAGCTGCAGCCTGTGCCCCAGCCACCCGTGCGGACGCGCCTGTCGGGGTTCTTAAAAGGATTGTGAAGCCCGGAGCGTGGCACCGACGCCATGCGCTGTACAAAGGGCTCAATCTCATCCAGGCCAGTGTTCGGAACCTGCAGGTGCCGAGAACGATTCGAAACCAGGCTGGAAGCTTTCATGTGCACTGAACGGGCTGGACGCCTCAAAAGGGTGGGTTGAGAGTAGCGTAGATGGTTGCCCCAAACATGAATGGCTGACAAACTGAACACCATCTCTTCGTGCCAGCCCCATCAAACTTCCGAAACCAACGTGCATTGATAAGTCCGCGGGGAATTCCTGGGGTCACTACTTCATACTACTTCCAAATAGGGTGTGTGCACATAGACTTGTCGCTTCAGGAACTGAAGCTGCTAATATGTCTCCCTACCCCATGAAAATAGAAACACAAATCACTACACAAATCCTTTTTTTTGACATATGTGGAGACTCTTGAAGGCTGCTGGTGTGTGGGCAAGGCTCCCCCCGCACATGAAGCAGCACCCTTCCCCACTTCTTCCAACCCCACCACCTCACTGCACTCTGATGAACAAGAGCGCTCCCCACCGAAAGTTGCCACCCAGTCTCAGTGCTCACCTCCTCCGGTCCGTTCCGTCACCGTTCCGTCCGTCCGTTCCGCAACGCCTTGAGGAAGGCGTCCCCATTCAGCGGATCCACGATGTCCTGGCCGCTCACAAGGGTGAGGCCAGCTAGCCAATATGTAAACTAGCTATTGTGCATAATTGGAATATATATATATATAGATAGATGTATAATGTATACATATGATTGGTGGTCAAAAGGTATTTTCCCGAAAGCCGCTGTAAAAGTCATGCTGATGGGGGCCCGCTTACATTTCAGAGAGGGTATCGGATGTATGGAAATGTGAAGGATTCCAATCAGAGGTGCAGAATGTTGCAAACGTAGCTAGCGCGAAGGCCTTTTTTAACTCTCTTATGATCTTTTGTTGTCTAAGCCAGCCATGCTGTGAGGAATTGGATTGCAAAGAACAGACATGGGCACAAACTTTCCAAGTAGTAACGGCGAAGATCTGCTTCCAGGACAAAAGGACAGCTGATCACAGTTGAGAACTGTGCTAGCGCAAATGCTTGCGCGGATCTAGCGCACAAGACTCAGAACTTTTTCCGGCTTGAAGTACCGGCAACACACATCACAAAGGTCACTTCTGCATTTCCCCAGTGGACCTACCGCCAATCTAGCGCTGCCTTGATGGTTTGCATGATTCTGCAGAGGGCCCGCTACTAAACCAATACTTGAAGTCAACATCCTAACCATTTTCCATACCACTTTTCCAAAAGCCTTACTATAGGTTTTTGACCGCTGCTCATATGCAGATTTCTCGTGTCCAAAACGTGGACGCTTTTAGCCGGTGTTTGCGCTGTGCCTCGCATGGTAGCGCAGCCTGGTTACTTCTTGGCAGCTGATCCTCGAGTTCGACATAGAAGGCCTCCAGGTCATCGATCGATGGCTCCACTCCGAACTCCTGGATCTTCTGACGGAAGGACGGCGTCCTTTCTTCAAGCTCGGCATGATGGACGCTGTCGACGCTACCGATTCGAGTGTCACAAACACCTGCGGTTTGCAAACAGGTTCCACTCCCAATTTCCGCGCGGATTCCACTCCCAACTCCGATCGACCGAACCCGGGTTCCTATATTTGGGGAAGCGCTCATGTTCATGTCATGCTCATGCACGTGCGCTTTCAAGGCTGCTCATGTTGCCTTGAAGAGGGACTGGCGGCTGGGCTGTGGAAAGACAGTGTGTACGGCCAATGTTCCCAAAGCGAAGAATCTCTGTCGCCCCATTACGTCAACCTTGATGTCGCGCTGAAGTCCTTGTCCCTCATTGATGCTCATGACGCGTGACATCGCATCTACACCTTCCACGGTGGAAGTCGCTGCTAGATCGATGCTGGCCTTTCCAGTCTGGAGCAGCGATCCCATCGCCAGTTGCACCTGGTCATCTGCTCATGTTGATGGTGGTGTAGCATTTAGTTCAAAGTTGTCACCTGAGATGTCATTTTTCTGCGTTCCTTTTCGATCATCTTTCTTTGGGCAGGAATCTGTACTGTGATGGCCCTTCTTCGTGGTTTCTGTCTTTTCAGATTTCCACATCGTCACACTCTCGCGCCTCATGGGGTATAGAAGTTGCAGTGCTTCTCATCATTGTTTGTTTTGCACGAGCCTTCCGCAAGCTTGGTCCGCGGAAGGGTGAGGTGGTTGTATTCCTCCACCTCTTCCTCTGCCATCGGCATCCAGTAGAGCTGCCTCGGGGAGACCAACTCCGGATTCCAATTGCTACGCTGACATGGCCCAGCAAGTGTCCTTTGGGCAAATCCGAGCCCGAGCACGGGCACAGTTTTCTGGGCAGCTTATGGTGAACGAGACCTTGGAAACGCCTGCAGCAGTTAAAGAATGGTCGTGAGTTTCCTTGCTATCTCCGGACTTGAGTTGGAACCTTTTGGTCGATCAGACAATGGTGCGTTCATGAAGAGCAGTAGGCCTCTGTGGCAGCAAGACACAAATCGATCGTCTTGTGATTTCAAACCATTTGTTCTTTTCATGTTTTTTCGCCTGGGTGGTGACGCTGGGGGACTCGGCGACTGGCGGGTGTGACAGGCTGGGGTGACCGGATGAGACCGGAATGCTTTTTGGATTTGCCTGAAGTCGTGATCATTTGCATGAGAGATGGTGATCTCATGGTTCTTCATGGGTTGACCAAAGATGCACCAGGCTGAGATGTAGCAAACTCTGAGTGTAGTGAAGGTAGAGTCAGGGAGGACATTGCAGAAAAGAGAAAACCTCAAGCAGCTCAGTGCATGTTGGCCCTGGAGTTGGGCCTTCATCATGGACCGGAATAGGATGTCATCGTGCACATCTTCCATGAGTAATGAAGCTGAACCTCTGCTTTGGTCACGCCGTCGGAGGTCCGTCTCTGCCCAGTTCAGCTTCAAGGCTTCTTGCACACTGTTGGTGGCAAAGTCATTCTTCGTGGCGCGCTCCGATTCTGCAGCAGCATCCATGCCACAACGAAGTCTGGCAGAAACTGTTCTGCCCCTTCTGGCGCTTGGTCCGAGATGTTTGCTTGGTGTAGTTGCTCCTGTGTCACATGCCTTTGATAGCCTCTATCCTACCATGATATGTTGATTGTCCCACCAAAACCCTTGGTCTTGGTTCCACTGCCAAGCATCCTCATTGTCTTCTAAAGGCCGTGATCGTCACCCTTCAATCTTTTCGCGCGGTCAGGTTGATGACGTGTGGCCCGGCTTGCACCATGATTGCCGCTGCATGGACTGATGGCACCTTTCCGAATTCCGGCTGAAGACTTGATGACACATGAAATATCCCTGTCCATATTTCCCGATGGCCTCTGCCAAGGCCTTGGGAGACTCACACAGGCTCAATCGTGGCGTTCGATGTGGCAGAAGACCTTGCCTATGGTCTTCCCAGCGCAAGCCAATGTAGGAGCTTGCACCGGCCTTCAAGAAGGCCAGCACTTCCTGAGCGCCCCTCGCATGAGAGATCCACCCCAGTGACTGGGGCCCCGCTAAAGGTCTCTTCTTCCAATCCAACGTCTCCACATAGTTAATAGTTCTTCAACGCAGCTCGTTTTTTATGGTATAGTATGTATTGATTGTTGGGATCCCATCCCGGCTATATCTCACCTCTGTCATCGCTCCCTTCCAGCAACAAAAGGATCTCTTCCTCAAAGTCCCTGGATCTTCGCTCTAATGCCCGTGCGGATTTCCAATCGAATCACTTTCGCACTCGGAGCCGATGCTCACGGATCAAGCACCCCCCCCCCAGTGTCCAAAAACAGGACGCTTTGCGGGCGGGTGTTTGCGCCTGCTTTGCGTGCAAATATAACAAAATACCGTTTATTATACATATGTTGTATTATTATTGTTTATTTCTATTGTTGCTATTATGTGATATGATGATGTGTGTGTGCGAACATGGGACCAGTTATGAGCTACGTGTCGTGGCACCCTCCTCGAGGGACACTGAGTGGCACACTGTGATGCATGGTTTGTGAGCAGACTTCAATCTGATCCCCACTTGGTAGCTCCAAGCCCCAAGCCGTCTCCTGTGAATGTTTCGATTTGCTCCAGGATCCTCCACCTGGGGCGGGACGAAACGGCCATGCGGCAATGCAAACCCATCAAGTCGGAATTTGCCTACACTCCAACTCCCTGACATTGAAAGGTGAAAAACGTATTAAAACATTGAAGAGGAACATCATCTATGTCATGTCTTCTCGTGTCCATGCCATCTACTTGCAATGTCATTGGTCTAAAGTATGCTAAGTGACCTAACCTTGGGGTCCCATGACTCACGACCTTTTACAGGCCAAATTCAGTGACTGAACTAACCAAGAAATCAAGTTCAGTCATGAACGGAGGAAATAGGTTTCCCTAAAGACTAACAGTTGCCTGCAGCTGACTTGCAAAAACCAAGCAAATGTCTGCTGCCAAATGGTGCAAACATGTGAAAACCACTTTTTTACGGCATGCTTAGTTCCAATTGGCACCTGCCCCACATTCGTCTCCGTAGTGCCCTGAGCTTCCAGCAAAGGTTCATGCCTTCAGCTGGTTGTGCTGCAGACATGGTCTCTGGATCTACCTGAGGGCCAAAGAAACTGAACCTTCGCGATTCAGCTGAGGACCCGTCCTGGGGTCCAAACCTTCTTTCCTTTGGGTATGGGCCCAGCTACGTTTTCCCAACAGCAAGGTGGTAAATGATTAGAAGCATCTTGAAACCAGAAATTCCGCAATACTCACCTAGTGTGACCATTCCACACTACTCAAGAAATGTAACATCGTACACGACAATAGAAAACGTATGTGGTCCGCAACATGGTTCTCCTCTGACCTGGTCCTTCGCAATCCTCATAAAACTTCTTTAAGCTACACAGTTCTCCCAAACACTCCCCCTTTTCAACCACCCCAATGTAGGCAATAACATGGAGCGCCTTCTTGCTCTGCTCCTTTTACACCATGTGACCGTGGCCCAACCGGGCGCCGCAAAGGCTCTGCGTGATGCGCCGTGTCTCGCCAGGGAAGTCAGCGGTCGGGCCACTGCCTGGGCGATGCAACCAAAAACCGTGTGATTCATGGCTAGGACCCCCTATTTGAGGATGGGTGAGGAGAGTACGACATAGAACCACATATGTATCTGCGTCTACATCCTTGGTGTGGACGATCTTGGGCCCTCCAAGTGCACAAGTATATAAAGCGTAGAAGTAGCTGCTTTTAGCGTCATCTCCCGTTCTCTAGCCTCCTTTACAGGGCCCAGGTTGTTTTGTTGATCGTCCCACCACGCCGACGAAAGACACAGCTCCCTATGCTCCCTGCCTGGGTCGTCTTCATGGCGTGCCAGGCGAGCATGGCTTCAAAAGTCGTCCAAGACAAAGGCCCGCAGTTTCTGTGACACCTCAGTGGGCCTCCGAAACAACTCTGTCTCAACTGGGTGAAGATGGGTGAAGGTATTGGTTGAAGCGACTGAAAGTGAACTTTGTCAGAGGTTTCTGCATGTCGGTGGCTGGAAACGAGTGGGTGCTGTGCTGTGCGGTCCATGTGGTGTGAGCTTCGTTGTTGTTTGACCTGATGGATGGCTCCATGGCTCCACCATGCTCCACCGTTTTCACTCCCGGGCGCGCAGGCTGTGAAGACCGTCGGTGTGTCGATGACGACGTGGCCCGTCATCGCCGGTTCCAACGATCGCATCGATCGCCGCGGAAGGACGGGTGGGCTCGGTGGGCTCCAGGTGCCATGACCCATCGGACCCATCAAGTCGGACCTCCACGTGCTTCTGTCGCTTCAAACGCGACAGGCTGTGTCTGTGTCTCTCTCGGGCGAAGTAGAGAATTTCACATCTGGAGCATTTGGTTGAACCATCAGATTGAAGTGCATCTGTATAATAGCTAGATTATAATAGTAAGTAAAGTAATTGGCAAATCCAATCACCACAGGTGATGATGGTCAGTACAACTTATACCGAAACATTACACATAGGCAAATCATGTTGCGTTCAAAGCAACTATAGCTGAAGATGCGGAGGGAGGGAAACCCTGTCCGCCATTCTTCCTCCTATTGGGATACACTCCGAAATCATGGACTTAGACCAAATAGGCCCACTAAGGCGCCTGGGAAAAAAATCAAAACTTCTGCACACAGGTGGTCTTTCCGCTTCCAGTACTCAGAAGCCTCACTTAAAAAGAACAAAAAAACAACTCCTCCCTGCAGCCCCCATCCCTGAGCACCCCTCTCTCCGCTCCGTGCCCGTCTGGTCCCGTTCCGCTCCGCCCTCCGTCCGCGACCGCTCCGTCCCGTGAACCCGCTCCGTCTCGTCGGTGTTCACGAAGCTCGCCGCATCCAAGGCGTAGGGCGTCAAGCCTGGCTGTGGAGAGCACCGGAGCGGACGTTCTCCGCGCTCGGGTGGAGCGACGAAACACGTCTCGGGGTTTTGGAGCGACGAAACGTCGGACGACGAAGGACGCAACGAGCAACATGAGAACCACAAAAAGGCCTTGGACACTAGGCCAAAAAATGTTATGCCTACTCTTGGGGTGGTTTGAGAGATGAAAAGGCAAAAATGGCAGAGTTGGAAGATCTAGATTCACTATCATGAGGCGCAAAGTGCAATGACTTTGAAGATGCAGGTCTCGTCATCTCGTCACTTCTCTCGCCTTTGCATCTAATATCAAGCTCAAGCACATCAAAAACATGATTTGAACCTATTGTCGCCAGTTCAATGGAAGAAAGCTTCACCCATTGCCACTCGCTGCTTAAACACCACACGTGGCAGGACTAAGCTTTGACGCCCACCTTTCTGCAAACCAAAACAATGCGAATAACCAAAACACATGAAGACCTTCTACTTCAGAGGGAGAGTCTGCTGGGTGTTTTTGGGTGAAGGTGGAAGGCTTTAAACCTGAGCAACTCTGAACCTGGCGCTTTTGGCTCTACGTCATCAAATTAGACTGCGATGCATCCTGGCCGTCCTGGTCCAAAATCAAGAACCATGGATTTCATAGCTCGGAACCTGGAACAGGCTTAGGCCTAAGGCGGCTTAAGCAAAAGGAACAAATATTGACAAAAAAAATCACCCCGAAGCAAAACAAACACATGTCAACAAGAATGCCTTGGACGACTTGACCAAGCCCTGCTCCATCAAATCTTAGGATCCTGCGCACTTATTTTTTTTGGTTTCACCTGGAAGAAACTGTCTAAAAAACGTTCTGGCGCATGAGCCTTCCCTGTCGAACAATCTTCCTATCTTTTACTCAGGTTCTTTTCTCTCCCTAGGGATCCAAGTACCTTCTCAGCAGGTGATTGGAGACACCGCTATGTAGGTTTGGAGGGTCTAGTATTCTCTAGTGCTGTCTCCCCCGTCTTTGACCGTGCTCCGCACACACGCACACACACACACACACATATATATATATATATATGTATATATAGTCCCCCTTTTAGAGTTAGCCGAATTTCAAAATTTTTACAATCATTGATTGATTGGCAATAAATGTGCAATTCGGACACCAAACAAGCAATCGGAATGAGCATCCTGAAAAAATAGAGTTAGCTGCGCACGCTCTTTTTTCAACCCATCTCAATCCCGTGCTCATGCAGATGCACTGGGACTGCAAGCTGCCAGCCGCTCTGTCAGCTTGGCCAGCGTGTCGACCCAGCGCTCCTTGCGCTCCATGGCTGTCACAGCCGCCGAGTGGCGCTCTGGCCAACTCTATGACTCTCGCTTTGAGCAAGCTCACAAGTGGATGTGCAACCCCGGCCTCCATGTCTGACTCTGACGGTGGACACACTGGCGCTGGAAGCGGAGGGGGTTCTTCCACGGCCCCAGGAAAAGAAACCCTCGAAAGTGGCAGGATATGTTTGTGCCACAGCCCCTAAAGCGTTTGTGTTGTTTATGTGCAAACTCTATAGCTCAACTCTATCCAGCTACTTTGTATATCTATATATATATATATGTGTGTGTGTGTGTCAACCCCTGGGCCAAGGGTTCACCACCACCTGCTTTTCCACCACAACTTTACACGCAGGGGGGCAATGCACGACTGACAGACATTGCCCAACGAAGACGCTGTCAGTTCGTGGTGAAGCAATGCGGGACGCCGCATTGTGTACCTGCTGAGTTTTTCACAAGCTGTGACCCTCCTTCTCCACGGTTTGTTTCATGGTTCTTTCACGTTTCTTACCCCAAAAACAGGTTTCCCACAGCTGCTTTCAGCCGCCGTCGTTCAGCCGCGCTTCTGCAGACAAGTGAACAATTTGTTCAACAATTCAGTTGCGCTGACCCTGTCACCTTGCGTTTCCCTCATTCCTTTTGACCTGGGAACTTTGAACTGAGTGTAACTGAATACAATTGTCAGAGTGTGTTTCGCTCAGCCGTCCCACTCGGGTGCTGAGTGTGATCCCCGTCATTGGGGCGCTGTCTCATCGTGCAAGCAGTAACTGACCTCACCGCCTTTCACAGGAACTCCACCGGAAGTCACCTCCACATCCACCGAATTAACTGCCACAACGGCCGCCGGGCCTAACCACGGGAACTGACAGTTTTGCAGCGTTTGCCTTTTTCTGCATGAAGTTTCTGCATGATTTTCCGCATGACCTTGCATATACACTCAAGCAATCTGACCTGAGTTTTCGACAGTTTAATTCGATTTGCATGAACACCCTACCACACCACATACTAACTTTCCACGCGCTGAAGCTGCTGCCACCGAGCTAGTGAAGCTCTACGTCCAAAAAGGACAACGAAATTGCTTGCAGCCGATATTTGAAAGGAAAAAGCGCCGACCACGGCAATCTGTGTGTGTCAACCCCTGGGCCAAGGGTTCACCACCACCTGCTTTTCCACCACAACTTTACACGCAGGGGGGCAATGCACGACTGACAGACATTGCCCAACGAAGACGCTGTCAGTTCGTGGTGAAGCAATGCGGGACGCCGCATTGTGTACCTGCTGAGTTTTTCACAAGCTGCGACCCTCCTTCTCCACGGTTTGTTTCATGGTTCTTTCACGTTTCTCACCCCAAAAACAGGTTTCCCACAGCTGCTTTCAACCGCCGTCGTTCAGCCGCGCTTCTGCAGACAAGTGAACAATTTGTTCAACAATTCAGTTGCGCTGACCCTGTCACCTTGCGTTTCCCTCATTCCTTTTGACCTGGGAACTGAGTGTAACTGAATACAATTGTCAGAGTGTGTGTGTGCGTTTCAAACGCTGCAGCAGTGTACTTATACGCCTGGACTATGTCAGTGTACATGTCCAAAATGTCAGTGTAGCAGTGTACTATGTCGGTGTAACCGTGTACTTCTGTGTCAGTGTAAATGCCTGCGGAGTCAAATGAAACAAATTGCCTGAGCTAGACCCTCTAAAATGGGCCAGGCTAGAGGATAGAGTTAGCCACATGGTCCAAAATATGCTGAGCTAGACCCCCTAAAATGGGCTAGGCTAGAGGATAGAGTTAGCCACATGGTCCAAAATATGCTGAGCTAGACCCCGTAAAATGGGCTAGGCTAGCCGGGAATGATTTTTTGCAAAAACAATGTTTTTTTTTGCATTTTCTGCCTTGGGTGCATGCCTTTAAGGAATGCTGTTTTGGATATAGAGATATCCGTTTGGGTTTTAACAAAATGTATGTTTTGGCAATAGAGTTAGCAAGTTAGCCTCCATGAGTTCACAAATCACTGGGTGACGGCTTTGACTGAAAGGGGGACTATATATATATACACATACAGTACATACACACTCACAAACAACAAACACAACCCACCAACGAACCAGGCAGCCTGCCAGACCAAACCAAACCAAAACACAACTCCGAACCCCGGAGTCACCCGGAAGCACCAGTCAGTCTTCTCTTCCTGTCCCATGTCATCCCAGATTCTGAACACGCCAAACACCATTGTCGACGCTCCGTTTTTGGGGTGTCCTGGCTGGACTACCCCACAGTTACCGGCCTAATTAGGCGTCTAAAAAAAGGGCACCCCGACAGGAGGCACAATTCGACGCTCCCACCTCCCTTGCAAAAGCAATAAGCTAACAGCCGTTCCTCGGTGCACCCCATCGATCGGGGAGACGAGTCGTCGTCGGCGGTCGGAACGGCCCGTATGTGCACAGCGCGGGGACGACCAAGCCGGGTAGCAAGCGGACCGGCGGCAACAGCGGACCGGCTTATCGCGGATGGTCAAAGTGCCAGGTATGTGTCTTGGGACTCCGTGGCATAGCAGTCCTCAAAACCTCCATCTGAACATATCTGAAATCAGAGTTTTCAGAGTCCACACTTTGGATCAAAAACCCAGCCTCGGGTGGGTTCTGGTGAAATGTTAGGCAACAGTGAAAAAGCCCTGGTCACCCGGTGAGTTTGGGGGCACGAACAAACAAAAGTCTGATCAAACAAAGGCCCAATGCAGCAGAAAAGACGAGGTTCGCCTCACAACCTCTGGCGTGTCCTTTCAGGAGCACGTTCCTCAAGATTGGCGCCAAACCGCCTCTTCCATCCCTGCATGCCACTTTGGCAGCTGGCGGTGCTTTTTGGCAACGTGGCCCATACTAAACGCATGGCCTTGTCGGCTTGCTTATGCATGAATGCTGAACTTCCCTCCCCGTTGGAGGGGTGCCAGCATGGCCTTGTCCGGTCCCTTCTGCGCTGTGCACGAAAGAGGCCGGCAGAATCAGTCCAGAGTGAGATCCAATGGGGTTGATGCGGGGACGATGTCCGGAGAAACAACCCCTCTGCGGAATTCATGTGCCATCGAATGCATCAGAAACCTCTTAAGAAAGGAAACGGCTTCTTGGTCTGGTCTTATTGGTCTTAGTTTTTAGATGTTTTTAGATTGGGGATCTGCAACATCTCTGAGCAAAGGCCGCAGGGGTTGTTGGCAGGTGGGTGACCACCCGCAACTCAACTCGCGGTCTCACCCCCTGCATCACCACCACTAGTGGCTTCTGAGGAGCAATCAATCAATCCCCCAAAACAGAAATTGAGGATACTGCACATTCATCGAACAAACACGGGTTCATGACGAGTCATGTCAATGCCCTAGCTAGTTTTTTGATGTTTTTTGGAGTGCAATCATGGAAGTGCTAAGTGCTCGACAATGGAACATGTTCAGCTTCCCATCCGAGAGTACTCTGATCATATCTGATCTGCCTCGTCTGCCCCTCAAGCCCTTACGTCGCATGAAATCGCGCATGCGTTCCCTCAGAGGATGGAGACTGGGATCGTTCCAAATCTTCTAAGGAGCTGGCGACCATCAAAGGCAGTCGCCGCCACTGGCCTCAGGTTCGCTCATGGTCTCAGGCCGTGCGAGACCTGCAACAGATGCGTCGACCGGTCCGAAATTAACATATCAAAACCCGGGAGGTTCAGGAACATCATGAAAGATCATGGATGATGGCATCTTTATGGGAAAAAACAGCCTGGCCCAGCCCCTCCAGCCCCAGTGACTGGGCAAGGGCTCTTGCAAGGGCGATTCAACTCCTAGGAGATCACCATAGGAGCCGCGATACATCGCCAAGGATGGAGAAGGGTTCACTTCCAAAAGCAAGACTTCCCTGGCAGAGTTCACCAAGAAGTCCTTGGAGAAGCAAAAGCTGAGAAGGTTTGAAACACACATCTGATATTATCAATAATCAGTTCAGCCAAGAGTTGTCTTTCCCTGGAGATTTCATTGGAAAAACCAGTGTCCTGGACAACTGGACAAGACCCATGGATTGTGTACGAAATCTTGCATTACCTGAGGTGTGTGCTCAAATGTATTGCAAATGCATATTGTGCACCATAAAAGATATCTTCCATCAGCAGTGGGATTGTAAACTGCCTGGTTGTTGGGTCCGAATAATTCATCATACTATAGTATAACTTATATACAATATAATCATTGTAAATTGTAAATACATTACATATATACCTAGTTTTCACAATATTTATAGTATGCAACACGGAGAACATGAGCTGTAACTGCACTAGGTGGGAGATACCTCACAACCTCTAAGTCCACCCTGCTGGCCAGCCTGTGACATGGGACGCAACCAGATCGGTGGTTTCTGCACCAAACAGAAACAGGTGCCCACAGCACATATCGATCTCAAAGGGTGCTGGTCTAGGACTCTGTTGCCGTCCGTTGAAGCCGCCCCCACATCGACTTACAGAAAACACGCAATTATATAATTGGATATAATTGGTGAAATGGAGTCTCTTGCGGTGCTTGTCTTAGACGGGCTGCATTTGGTAGCCAGTTTGGTAGACTGTTTGGAACGATCTAAGCACCATTTTGTCAGGGCTAATGGAACAAATTCCCAAATTCAGCCCAAACGATTGAGCAATATTGAGCATCTCTAATTAAAACACGTGAGTCCTAAAATAATGCTAAGGAACGCCATGCAAACCGTACTATGCTGACTGCAGCCACATGGACCAAAGAAAGAAGCATCTGAAATAGACAGGGATGATCCTGCCCCGATCCCCGAACAGCAAGCCAAGCATCCACACCAAAGAGCTCCCAGCCTGGCAAAAGCAGCAAAGACCGCGAGGCGTGGATGGAGGATGAATCTGTCGAAGCTGGATTCGCAGGAAATCCAAGCCACGCATCAAAACCTCAAACCTCCCCCCAACACAAGCGCCACGGCTCAGCCACTATTAAATTTATTACATCTGTGCCTCTCCATCACTCCCCCCTCGCCAGTCAGTTTATGACCCGCACACGCCGCACCATAAATAGGGGCCAGGCAGCAATTGGGCAGCGTGAAGAAATGCCTCCGCCCCGTGGTGCGAAGGTTGTTCAAGGTTCGCGTCAGGACCTCGCACAGCTGCTGGAAGATCTCGGAGGACACCTCGCCCAGCTCATCCAGGGACATGTTCTGCTTGGATTCCTAATCGGAGGCGCTGAAGGACGCCACCCACATCCGTTTGTTTGTGGTTTTGGGAGGTGCTTGTTTTGGGGTTGCTGTGCGGGCCTTTGCCAAGCCCACAGTGGTGTCGCTATGATCTCCGCCAATCATACAAACTCCGCGAAGAGCATGACTGGGAGATATATATCATGTGCATCGGCGGATGAGAAAAAGCAAACTGCTGTAGCCCCGGCCAGGCCGGGTCTATAGGACCCCTCCTGCACCCCATAAAACAAAACAAACAGTCTATCAGGACCCTCCAAGAGGTGTCTATTTATAGCCCCTGAGCTGTTAAGGGGTGTCATGGGGTGTCCATTAACCACCCCTTGGGGGTCCTGGTGTAATCATAGATTTTTGTTTGGACCACGCCAACTTTCATCTATAGCTTGTCTAATGCATTCTTCTAAGGTTTTCCGAGTTTTCTGCACATGGCTGCATCCATCTGCAATCCAGGTCTCCGAATATCCTGTGACTTCCTGGTTCACCCCCATGTTCGTCACATGCACCGCTTCACGATTGCCATCCTGGTCATTGTAAGGCTGGGTGGCCAGGAGAACGCGCACCTCTTCATGGAGATAAGCCGTCAAATCCTGAGAAGTTCGTCGAAGGATCCGAAGTCCGATCGCGAGACTCCAGGAATTGGTTCAAAGGGAAAGTTCTACTGGAAGCCCATAAGAAAATGGGAGTGAACATTGAAGGGCTACCTGATGTTTCAAAGTAGATCTTCCCTTTATAACCATTGGTACAGCCATATACAGCCAATATCCTGGTGGCTTCAACCTGACAACCTCATGCACCACCGGCTATGGTCATGCTTTGCCCAAATAACTGTTTAATCACTCCAATAAACACTGCTTCAAATACCAACACCTCTACTGGAGGGCTGATGATGGCTGATGGAACTACTTCCATTTAGGCCCGAACTCATTCTACAGTTGCACGATGGATTCGCCAACACCTTCAAAGCGCAAACTGGATGGATTCGGTCTGAAGCCATCTTCCCAATGGTGGTTTCTACCCTGTTCACATACAAATACATACAAGCTACAGGATCTGGCGCGGGCCTCTTCTCACTTGCCCAGGGCCTAGCAGTATCCAACGGTCGCTCGGAGTGGGTCGAAACCGGGTCCTCTCGTCCAAGGGTCGCCCACGCAAAGCAGCAACGCTCGCAAGTGGAACTTGCGGCCCTCGTGGAGGTAGGGGGTGACGTTCCTGCCCGGATGGTCTGGGACCCACCATTGATATCACCGGAATCCAGGACTGCTTAGGTGCTAGATGGGATCTAGTATGGGGTAAATGCATATAACATCATGTAACTACTCCAGTCCCATGGATCACTGAGATTGGGACCTAACTTGGAGACAGTTTCATGGGTCAAACATGGAGGGAGGATGCTCATTCATGGATGGTTAGGGGACCCACCCAAAGGGTGCCCCCTAAGGACAGGTTTTGGAGTGCAAAGAATATAGCCTGCGAACCCGGGAGACCAGTTTAACGAGTACATATTATAAGAACGACTTTCATGTGAATGAATTTGTTATGAACAAGTTTAACGAGCATACTTTTGGTTCATAGGGGTAGATATTGCCAGGAGTGTACTGGGACTGAGGGGGTCGTAATCCACCATGACGCGCCCCTCGTCCTCGATAGACTCAGTTTCTCTGAATCACGTGGATGGTCTGGATGCTTCTACATGCGTGTGGAAAACTCAAGTGTCATTTCAACGTGTGGAACTTATGAAATGCCAAAATCATAGGAACAAACTTAAATACTTGCAACATCTTGCAGTTGTTTAGAGAAATTGTTTGGACAAGAAAGGCTCATTCTTCCACACAGCTTGCAATATGCAATTCCTCAAACCATCATGCCTGAATGATGGCAAATTCTGCCTGCTCATCACCATCTAGCCTACAATATTCATCAGTATTCCTGGAATTGATGTTGCAGTCACACCATGTCACACCACTGCCCTGAGCGATCCTTCCTCTTCACGTTCCTTCCGTACCCGTGGGACCTCGCCCGCGAAACCGTCAGCGCGCAGGCGCGGCGCCTCTGCAAGACCCAAACGTCCGCTCCACCCAACAATTCCCCCGCGCACTTCCGCGCGCGCCAGGCGTTCCGCAGCTGCTGGAGGCTCAAGGCCAGCAGGGCAGCGGTGCAGAGGCGCCGCTCCCAACGGCGGCGCGGCGTGGCGTGGAGGGTCCAAAGCAAGGCCACTAAGCCCAATAGAGCTAACCAGGGCGGTTCAGTGGGGATCTGAACGATGGCATCTGCTTCCTGGGGTTGCTTCGGACAAAGAGCGCGCAAGTTTGTAAAGGCCAAAGGCGAAAGAAAGGGCAGTCTGTTGAATAGCTGATGAGCTGTTCGGGGATGGTGTGAGCTGTTAGGGGATGGTGTGAGTTGTTAGGGCCATTCCCAGGACCCGCAAGCTTTGTGTATGAAGTGTCCCCTACCAAAAAATAGCCCCTTGCAGTCCAAAGGGTGTTCATTCACCACTCCTAAAGGGTGTTCATTCACCACTCC